GATTAAAAACACGGAGCCAAATGGAAACACGAGTTTTCAAAAGGCTTAGAATATAATGGGGTTTTTTTATTGTTAGGATTTAAAAACTATCATCTGTACTTCTTGCTTCTAAATTATTTTATTTAGAAAGAGATGTCAAAATATAGAGGCAACATAATAATACAAGAGGTATAAAGAAGTATTTAGCACCTGTCAGACCTTGTTGTAATTCACGCTGTCAAGCTAGGAATCACAGTACTGTGTAAAAGTGATGATTTGAAACCTTTTAGTAATTTCAAGAACAAGTTTTAGTTAGTTTACAGTACTTGCTGGATCTGCTGTCTGTTGGAAGTGGTGAGAAGCACAACCAGCATTCAGGCAGACTTGCATCTGATTTGCCATCCAGCAGCCAAACCAGACATTATCTTAATTACTGTAATAAAACTGAAAACAGACCAGCCTACTTCCTTGCATATCTGTGACATGACAGTCACTATTTTCCTGGATCAAACCCTATATATCTGCAGCTTTCCACCACTGCAGCTTGTAATCCACAACTTCATTAGCTGTTGACACAGATTTATATATATTCTACTACTGGTTTGAGATAACATATAACAGTCACAATTTAGCTACTGTACTGCTGACATTCTGTTTTCCTAGATTAATGAGGGAGCGCGCAGACATTTCTTACATCAAGAAAACAGCAAAATTTTGAAAAAGTTGATGTCCCAAGAAGCTACATGATTTGAGGGACTATTATTTGCAATATTCTCCTTATGCACAACTCGCTTCCCTCCTTGTGTCTGTGTTATTGATAGTCCACTGTACTGCTCTTAGGGAGAACATTCTTCCCTAGTGATTAACCCTTACACTGCACTACTGCTGATAGTTTCCTCCTGCTGTTTGCATTAACTCTGTGGTTAATATGAATTTCTTCATTCAGACCAATGGGCACAAGTGAAATGAGGCATTAACAACAGTCCTCCATAGAGTAACAACTGAACTTCTTGGACAGAAATCTTAGTTCCAGAGACTATATAGGGGAAAAAAGGGATATAGATTTGATGAACACTGGGCAGTACAGGAAAAGACAGGAACATAAGCAAGATCCTTGCTATGCTGATGAAGGACTTGCCATATATTTTCTTACTTAGTCTTCACTCCTGCTTTTAGGGAAGGGTGAGCTGGGGCAGCATGACCATATTTTTGTTAACACTCATTGCATTCCATGCCGGCTCATGGTTTTCTGTCTTGTGTTTACAAGCCAAGCATGCTCCATATATGTATTCAGGACTCAAGGGCCCAAAATAGGCCTTATATCTCTCATAGTTACAATAACAAACTCTGGAAAACAAGGCTATCGTCCTGAACATTGCTACTGGACATCTGGAATTGGACACAGATTGCAAGACAGATTTATATGGCTATATACACCACTGTTATTCTGTATAAAGTCATTTAATATTTTGCTTTATTTCAGGTCAATAAAAATGTCTCTGTTTTCAATTCTGGCTACTGTTACCCTTAATGGTGAGCAAAAAAGAGTTAAGCATTATCATGGCCACAATTTTCAAGCCTAAGTATCAAACGTCAGGTTCACCTTTTGCTCAGCAAACAGATAGCTCAATATTCAGACGTGCTCCATTTTATGATTTCTCACTACATACAATAAGGGACAATTCCCTATTTTCAGCTCTCGTACACTTCTCTTTTTTTAACCCATCAGGGAGAAAGGAGCTCTCACCTCCATTACTAGCAATGGATGCAACACAGCAAAAGAAAAATGGGACTTCCAGTTGGAGGTCTCAAGTCACCCTCACTGATTCTCACTGTATAACAGATGAGGGTATAAAAATTACCAAAACCAGATTCACATGGGGTTACAAGTTATTAATGTTTTCAACAAATGATCTTTTATAAGTATTACACAGTGTTTGGAAAATGTGCTATTACATTCATAGCAAAACTTCAATTAAAAGAATCAATCTAGCATTTATTAGCCAGTACCAAAAATGATCATTTGAAAAGTAAGATCAATATCAAAGTTAAATCTTTTTAAAGACCTTGACCATTAATGAAAAGAAAATCCCTCTCTTATCATAAGATATGTTTATAACATATGTTCAGAATGGATTCCTTCATTTCAATAACTTTTTATGATGTTAAAATTGAGAATCCTCCAATTTATGTTCCTACATTAGCAAGGTTTTCCTTTATTGTATCTAACTCCATGATTTTGGACTTCTTTTTCCTAAGTCTATCTTGGGAACAAAAAAAGTATCTGAGTTTAGATCTTAAAATTTTATCATCTACATGATATCAACCATAGATCTCATTTAATACTTAATGTTGAGATACATATATGATACAATTTGAGGCTACTCTCTAATTGTTGTGACATCTTGCCTGATGCAGAGGTATGTGCAGGGAGGTACTTGACTGAGGTCTCTTCCCTGCCTATAAAATTGTTTTCCATGAAGTAACTGTCCAAATAAATACTGGGTATCGATTCAGAGCTTGGTTTAGAAACATTCTGCTAAATTTGGGAGTTTTACGAAATGTTCTTGTGAGGAAGACAGGAAAGTCTGGATTGACAGCTCTTCCTACATCACAGCTCTGGAAATGGCCTAAGATACTTTCTACCCACAGGACAGGATCTCTTAATTGTTTAAAACTTGAGTTAGAGTGTTTAACTTCTGGCCCTCTGGGGATACGCAGATTACAGTTGCAGTAAAGTTCGTAACAGCCTGGTGGTGTCTGAAAGCAGAGGAGGAGGATCACGCAGCGCTTGGCCGTTTCTAGCTCATAAAGGATTTCATTGTTGCAGGCACTGTGGATGGTTTGAGAGCCCTGAGGTGGTCCCGGTGTGTTAGCCACCCAGCGTCTACTGTCCTATCAGCTTCCCACCATGCCACTCAGTGGCACAGCATGCTAAGAGCTGCACACAGTATAAAGAGCACTGTATAAAAATCCTCTAATGCATTTTATATGGAATGACAACTTTTTATACGACAAATAGCAGCCCGAAATAGTTCTATCAGAAAAAACAAATTAATTTTGTGCCCCCCACGATCACCGTCGAGGAGCACAAAGAAGTTCCCAACCTGGAAACATTCTATATAGGTGGATATATCAAAAGGAAATTCAAAATTGCTCTTGCAACAACACTGAAAGCCTGATACTATTTTGGCAAAACTTCTTTTCGTGCTACAGTGTGAGAGCACTGGTAGTACTTACTAGACTTTTTTCCTCTCAGTAACAACTTCAAAAGTTTTATGATCCGAGTGGTTAATTACTCTGATGTACAGAGGAGTATAATATGGCATGTTTGTTTGGTGCTCAAGCATGTATCAACTGAGTTGGAGAATGAGAAATGCCAGATTCTGACTGAATAGGCTGCATTGCCTCCTATTACTATTTACCACGAATGAAAGAGGCATCTGTATTTCTCACAAAGAGAGGCTGCCTTTTGTGCTGCAGATCATGTATCACACAACATGTATTACTGTATTGTGACATATTTAAGAATTCAATAAATTTGAGCTCTGTTTCTGCCACCTTAATCTGTGTTTGGCAATACCTTTTTCCATTTAAATCACCTTGAATACTAAGGACTTCTGTAACGCGACAGAATTACACTCTGCATTCACTTCTTAAATGAGAGTGGGCTCAGGTGATGAAAGACATTTAATTTAAACTGCCCTTCTAATCAGTTACACCAAAGCTTTTGATCTGAAAGTGAAAGACAACGGTTTTGAAATCTCCAAGTTCATGCTTCTTGTTTCTTTTCATGCTCAAATGAACAATCCAACCTGGAAATCGAGAACAATCAGCACCTTTGGATAAAATTAAAAGCGTTGCTGTTATATGCAAATAGTAAGATCTTGATGTAACTGTGAACGCTCAACCCTCCAAAATTATTGTTCTGCTACAAAGCACAGATGTTCTTGGAAGAAGTACTTGCACAGTGCTGTATTATTTTGGGGTGCAAAGATCTCTATTATTTGGGTGAAGCATGCGCCTGCTTCAGAAATTGCAAATATTATATTACCCCCTCATTATATTACACTGGAACTATTATTTCACTAAGAGAAGGGTGACTTTTTTTTTTTTTTTTTTTTGCTATGCATTCGACTTTTGGCAGCGCTGTCCTGGAACGTAAAATGCCAAGTTGGCAGCTTTCAGAAAGGGAAATTTCAGCAAGTTGGGATGGTCTCTTTGGGCTCATATTTCTTGCAGTTCTTTTTCCATGTGCCTGTGGTCGCTGAGTTACCAGCAACAGCTCTTACCTGCAGCTTTGTTTCTTATTTTATGTTTTATTAACTCCAGTATTTCAACCCTAGCGTCATTCTTCCCTTCAGGTATTCATTGTAAAGTTCTGTCAGCTTTGCCTTTTCCTGAAATATGTAACAGTCTAATGGTGGTAGGTTCTGGTACGTGCACCCTGAAGCTCTGAAATTTTGACTCTCACAGTGTAAGGCTGTCCTACACTGTAGATTACTGAAGCCCAGATTTGCTGGCAGACACGTATCTCATGCTCACTCCCCACAACCCTGGTTAGGTTACGATAACAAACATTTTGCATTGGAAAATTCCCTGACAAATCTAGTAATGCTTTTCTTTACAGAAAATATAATTCCCTTACTGACACTGGTATCTTAAAAAATTAGGCTGCTCTAGAGACAAATCAATAAGAGTTGATTTTAGCTGATAATAAAATACCTCAGGACTGGACACTTAAAATTAGTAGTGATAAAACCCTCTCTGTAATGATAAGTAAAGGAGATAAAGTTTGCAATTCTTATAAATGACTTAGAAGAATCAAGACTCAGTCCAGGTAACTAACTACAGCTCAAGGGTGAAAGGGTGAGCAGAATTAATTTCCTGCACTGTTTCTTTACTGGTTATTACTGTGTGGCTAAGAACAGTTCTGTTTAACAGCCTCGTCAGAATGCTCAGGGTTACAACAGCTGCCGCCTGATGAACATATGTAGAGATGACAGATCAAGTGCACCTACCTTCCATTGACAGCAAAACATAGTTGACATATTCCATGCAACACTGCTGTGGCATTTTGTAGAAAAGTTGCTATTTTGGGATTCTCATCAACAGGGCCTTGAACGGAGAGGAAACAGCAACACAGCTTGTCGATCAAGCCTATGTTCACCACATAACTAGAAACAGAGGAAAGGCTGTATTAAAAAAAAATAGTCCCATGCCAGTTTCGGTAACTTTGCAAAGGAAGTAATTTCTGCTTCTCTACTATCAAACCATGCAAAATGCAGGATGTGATTACTTAAATACTCTTTTCCGAAAGGGTTCAGTAAAACAATTCAAATTACAATAAATTCAGATCTGGTTCTCTGTAACTGTCAGTAGTTTTCATTAAGAGATCTGTCTGTTGTAGGATAATTTGTATTATACTCTACAAGAAAGATGACTGTAAATGTTTATTTTACCATACTCCTAGAAGGACAATGGAATTTTGCCATAGTTAAATGATTTATAATAATCTTGATAGCTCTGCAACAGCACAATTTGTTTTTAGCATGAAGAGATAAACTTTGTAGAACACACTAATTCAAGAAGACAATGATGTTACCCAGATAACGTTTTATTGCAATATGTATATCATAAACAACTACTGCCCAGTTGTTGGGGTTTTTTTTCCTTTTTAAAATGTATCCAACAGTTAAGAGACTAATAGAACATGCAGGTAACAACCTTCTACCATCAGTACAGAAGGACCAGGATCAGAAAGCCTCCTCAGGAGCTCAACCAAAATTCAATGCAGAGAAAACCATGCTAGTGACTTTTTTTTTTTTAAACTGAAAACTCCTCTTTCTTTTTTATTATCAGAATAGATCAGATCATCATTGCAGATCATCAGATCACTACTGCTGAAGTTTCTTCGTTGAATTTCTAACAGCTTGGAAACCTACGCCAAAAATTTAGCTGTTTGTCCCTGTACCAAGATCTCTCTGTCCATACCAGGTTCTCTCATACTTTGATCATTATCAGCTCCATTTAAACTGTGCACACAGGTAATTTTTTTTTCCATGTCACTTTGCTGATATCAACTAACTTCACGTACTTTCCTTTTTCTACCACAAACATTCAGCTTCTCAGACTTTACTCCATCTCAGCTGTTCATTCTGCTGACTTATGCGACATCAACTTCCTTTGTGGAGACAAATATCCCACTGCAATCACCTCCTTATTCTCTTTACCCTCTAATTTTCTTTGTACTTTCCTCCACTCTTATCAAGTGGGAGAAACTTCTTGTCAAAATCAGAAGAACTGCTGTTATATCCTGTGCCTCCACCTGACTTCACAGACATGGGGAACCAATTGCTGTCAGACACCATCAACGGATTCACTGTTTTTACACTGATAGTCTATACTAAACCATCCTGTTATTAGTATTACTCCATCCTACCACCAGCTGTTTTGTCTACTCGCTTGTCAAGTCCACTTGCTAGAGATTGCCTCTTTGAGCATAGGCTCCTTGAGATGGGAACACCATTGGCTATATGGTTCCATAATGTCAAGACCTGACTTGACAAAGTATGGAACATTATTAAATAATAATGATTCTACTAAATAAATAATACTGATTAGATAATGCTTGTCCAATGAGCTCTACCAGTATTTATTAAAAATAACTATTCCCTCACATATCTTACAGTCTGATATTGAAAAACCAGGGACTTTTAAGATTTGGGAAAAAACATCTCCACTTTTCAGGCAGTGTTGTTGCTCCAAAACTAATCTCCCTTCAGGCCTAGAAGCTAGACTTTCTGCCAAAGTTTACCCTGCTGACACAAAGCTTTTGGAAGCAATAAAAGTAATTAAAAATAAAAATACACTGAATATAAAGCAAGAAGTCTGACTGCGGTATGAAAGATTTTTAAAGCTGCTGAAGTATTACAGTTAAAAACACTTTAAGACACACGAAGGTTATTAATTGCACACTCATTGCTCAGGGAAGTTTGACTTGTCCATTCTATTTAGCAACATGAAAGGCTACCAGCATTAGGTTTCTCGCAGATTTTGATCTAAGCAATCCACCTGATCATACAGGTGATAAGCAAGCTCTCCCATACTAGCAGAATAATTCCAGGAACAGAGCTGGGTATTAGATACATCACAGTCACAGAGAAACTAGAGTGCTAGAAACCTCTCTGTGAAATAGCAGGGGAGCGGAAGAACTAAATAAAATACAGCTAATACTGATAGATGATTACTCATAAAAAGGCACAACCATTCTCATCAATATTCTCTTCCTTTTTGCCTAGGAACATCTCTGCAGTCAGACTGACACCTGCAAAACGTGTTCATTGTCCCCCTTCCTTCACACCCACACCTGGATACAAAGCGACTGCTCTTTCGGCAGAGAAGAAATGGATGAGAGTTTTCAGTCTACTGGGACTATTCTTTAATGGCATCCGGAGACAATGAGAAGACGCATGAAGCACTCCCTTCCTTGAAGAATCGAGCATACAGACAAGTAGAATGTCAAAGCTCTCTAATCTATTGCCTCCATCTCTGAGTCTTTTTACCCTTTTATCTATGGTAGTATAGTTCCAATAATTTGGCTACCCTTTTGATACCCGGACAGTGTGTAGATAATTGTCATGTATGCATCAGGTCTAGTTGTCCCAAATATAAAAAAAAAAATTTTATTTCAACTTTCCTCTTTCTTCCCCCATCTTCCTAAAACTCTCATTTAATCAACTCCACAAGGACATATAATACAATACCCTGGAGGTGAAAGATTCTCATTAATAATAGAATTTGTCTGGTTTTGACTAGTTTAAAATGCCCTCTCTCTTTTTTTCCTAATTGCGCTATTACCTTGTCATCGTGCCTTTCATTCGCCATTTATAACCAGATCCCCTAAAGTGCCTCAGGTGAGGGACCTAGTTGGATTCTCATGTATCTTCTTATCTTAAGGGTATGCCTGTGCTTGGCCCAGTCAGTGTCAGGTGTCTGTTCAGCACAAATATCAATAAGCAGACCTCCCACCCTCCCATTCATAAATGGGGAGAATACAACATCCTGAAATTTTTTTTCAAAACCTGTTTGGGGAGAAGGCGGGTTACATGAGAACAATGAAGTTTTAGAGGTCACTGGTATCTATGACAACTATTTGTTTTGCTTTCCTCCTCCAGCTGTCTTTTTTGTATCCATCAGCATCATACCAGACCTTGAAAAGTCTGAAGATGCTCACTGTGACACATTTTCAGTAGCATATAAGCAGAATTTCATTTCTTCAGACGGCTGAAGATGTAGTGATGACTATTTATAATTTAAATAACTATTTATAATTTAAATAACTAGTATAATTTACTAGTG